CTTTCCCCTCCCACACACCAACTACTCCTTCTCTTTGTGTGTTTGACTCCTGACTCCCACTTATGCTTCAGGTACCAACTCTTCCAGGAAGTCATCCCTGATACTCCAGGACTCCCGTGGTGCATTTTATTACATTCCTTATGGCAGTGGCCACACTGTAGTGCAACTGAGACTGTATACTCCTCCCAACTATAATAAACTCTTTGAGGGCAGAGCCTGGCTCATGTTTGCTTTTTTTATACCCAGTTCTAGTCAATTAATATTCATTTTATAAATTAATAAATCAGTACCTGATTGGGGGAAATCAATGTTTTATGAGGCCTGCTAGCCAAAAGAATATTGAGTATACCACGGACTGCCAAAAGAACGAACAAATCCATCTTGGAAGAAGTGCGACCAGAATGCTCCTTGGAAGCAAGGATGGCAAAACTATGTCTCACATAATTTGGGCGTGTTGTCAGGAAGGATCAATCCATGGAGAAGGACATCATGCGTGGTAAAGTAGTGGGTCAGCAAAAAAGAAGACGACCCTCGACGAGATGATCGACACAGTGGCTGCAACAATGAGCTCAAGCATAACAATGATTGTGAGAATGGCGCAGGACCGGGCAGTGTGTCATTCTGTTGTACGTGGGGTTGTGCTGTGAGTCAGAATCCAATCGATGGCACCTAACAACAACAACAACAAGATAGCTGAAAGGTTGGTGGTTTGGAAGTCCCGCCTGGTGATCTGCTTCTGAAAGGTCACAGCCTTGAAAACCCTATGAAGCCATTCTACTTTGCAAACATGGGGTCACCGTGAGTTAGAATTGACTCAAAGGCAGCTAGCAACAAGCAAGCAACAAAGCACATAAATAGGCAGTGATATTTGTTAAATGAATAAATGCTATCAAAACTTTTATGTATTCTTAATTTTGGCAATTCTGTCTTGTATGGATAAATTGATTATTTAAAAAATTCTAAAGTTATTTAATTCTAAATCCTAAAATCCTAATCCTAAACTAAAAAAAAAAAAAAAAAAAATCCTGAAGTTATTTCAAATAGGTAAATTAGATGATTTAGTGAAGTTATATACTTTTTGGTCAAAAAAAGGTATGGTTATAAAATGAGATAGATTTATCTGTCTCATAAACCATCTCCGAAGACAGTACGTTGTAACCTGTTGCAGGTGATACAAAGGACTATCAGATGGTTTCTAATCTTAAGGAATTTGTAGACTTTTAGGGAGAAGAAACTTATACTGAAATAACATTGTGTCAAAACCCTAGTCATATCTCTAGCCATAAAACAAACTATTGTGTTCATCAGTCTCCTTTAATGAACCCAGTTTCCCTTTTCTTAACAGAATGAGATATGATTTGGCTCATTTGGCATTCCACAAAGAAAATTACAGAATTTTCTGAGAGGTACATTAGAGACCAGTAAGGCTAATCCTGTCTATATTTGCTCTTTATTTTGCAACTGATTGATACCCGGCCCAACATTGCTTTAAGCAAAAGGTGGTCTTACTCATTCAGTTAATGGAATGGCTCATGTAATCTAGGAGCAGGCTGGTTCTCAGACCTTGTTTTCTAAATACCACTCACCATGTAAATAGAAACAGAACTCCTTGGAGAGACGGCTGATTCCAGAACTAGGGCAGAGAAAATATGAAGGGAGTCTGGGACAATTTGATATAAGAAAACTAAGACTAATAGGGTCATATGTCAAAAGGACACGAGCCAGTTTGAAGGGATCCCCGTTGGCCAAATTTTAGACAATATGAGCATTAAAAAGATTAATGATATCTAGACTTAGCTTTTGGTTCACAGGGACCACAAGTTATGGAGGGACAGGTTTAATGCTACCATGAGGAGCTAATCAGACAAATGCAGAATGTGGAACATTCTGTAAGACAACTGACCCAGACTCTTCAAAAAGTCAGTGTCATTTAAAAAATATAAAAATGATTTTCTAGCTTAAAAGACACTACAGAGACAAAATAGCCAAATAACAATGAGTTAAACTTGATTGGCCCTTAGGTTGGAGGAAAAATATTAAAAAAAAAAAAATACAAATGGGATCAGTTGAGAAAATCTGAATATGGAATGGAATTAATTAAATGATGTTTTTCTTAGGAGTGGTAACGGTATTGTCAGAATGTAGGAAAATGTCTTTATTCTTAGGAGATGTATGTTGCATTATTTCAGAGTGAAGTGCCATGAAGTCTGCAACCTACTTTAAATGGTTCAGCCAAATAAATTTTATAAATAGAGAAAATGAATGCATGCAAAAGCGTGTGGCAGTATATTACAATTGCTAAGCTAGATGGAGTGCTCATTGAACTATTCTTTCAACTTTTGGTCTGAAAAATTTTTTAATTTTTTAATTTAAATATTTTTATTTAAAGTAAACTGAAAAAAGAAAAAAATCATCACAATGAAAACAAAAAACAAGTCGTGGGTAGGCAGGCATGCGAGTAGGCCAAGCTCTGTCCACCACTTCAGCAGTGACATCAGGGCCCAGTTGGGCTTCCTCTGTCCCTCGACTGTTCCTTTGCACGCACAGAGCCAAACAACCCGTGAATATCGAGTGAAGTGTGAGCCCAAAGTGGTATTACCCAAATTTTGGAGCACTGTGAGTATCTCCAGAGGAGATCAATAGAGAAGCTTGGGGTAGGACTATGTCCTATTCATTGTTTACATTTCCAGTGTCTGGAATGTAGTAGGCATTTGAAAACTATTGACTGAAAAGATACGTAAATGGGATGACTAAATTTGAGAAATGCCTAGAAAAGCGAGAGCTTAGAAACAAAGTGACTTTTTTCAAATCCAGTAAGTATTTTTTGTTGAATTTAGTAGACTTGAACTAGCGAGGGGGAAACTAAGATTAATGTTGGTTCCAGGTGTCAGGAAAAGGCCTGTTTTCAAATTTCTTCTATGCATGCGATAACGATTATATCTCACACAATTTTTGCTTTCTGAATTTTGCTTTCCTGAATTACATGATGATCAAAGCTCTTTAGTGGAAGCCACTATAGTTTTTCCTACACGGGGGGATAATTTGAGTTTAGTTTGAAATCTTCAGAGGGTGGCATGTACAATTATGCTTTGTTCCTTGGTGAGCTATGAGGTGGGCACTTAATTCCTTAGTTATGTAAAAAATATTATAAGAGAGCAGTTGAGTAATCCCCAAGACAGTAATTATTGTCTGTCTTGGCAGAATGTGAGGCTTTTAATCTGTAAATAAGCCAGTCTATGGGAAGAGCCACATGTAGAGAGTCTGTGTCCTAAAGGTCTTTTATGAATTTTTAAAAGTGAAAGCAGTTCTTGAATGTGCTGATTGGCTGCTGCCTTTGTGCCTGGAAGGGTTCATGATGCTCCTCCTGTGGTTTTAACCTCTCTTGAAGTATTGAAGCCTCTGAGGAGGATTCCTGTAAAGGGTAAAACTGTGTCTGATTTAAACCCATAAAAGAATCTGAATGTTTCAAATGTGGAGGAAGTAAAATGTGCTTTCTGCATATTAAAAAAAAAGATAAAACAGAACAAAACATTGGCAGTTCTTTAAAAAAAAAAAAACAAAACAAAGATGCAACATATGTTACTACTTACTGGAGATTAATAAGTATTTTTGTGTGTGCCATAGCAGCTAAGATTTCCAAAAAGAATGAATTCACTTTAAGGGTATGTGCCAATTCTGTTTAAGTGGATCTGAGTCTTTTAGGTACTGACTGTTGATGTTTAAGTTGTCAATAGCATCTGCCTTCCCTCTTGCTACTGTGGACGAGTTGCCTTTCTTCTGTCTAAAGCCAACTTCTGTGCTTGCATACCACGAGGTCCCCTCCCCTTTGCCTACTCAGGGATTTCATTTCTCTTGCGTACCACCAGGTCCCCTCCCCTTTGCCTACTCATGGATTTCATTTCTCCCTCTAGTACAGACCTGTCCCTTTGACGCCAGACTTGTATATTCAGTCACCTGCCCCACATCTTATTGGATAACTAATAGACATTTCAGATTTAACATATTCAACATTTAACACCTGGTCTTCCCACAGTTGTCTGTAGCCTGGATTATTTGCAATAGCCTCCTAACTGGTCTTCTCAAAAGACCCTTTTAAAACATCAAGTCAGATCATGTCACTCCTCTGTTGCAAGGTCTCCAATGACTTCCCATCTCAGCCAGAGCAACTACAAGGCCTTTCATCATCTGACCCCGTTACCTGTCCGACCTCACCTCCTACCCTTTTCCTTGTCACTCGTTCTGCCCTAGCTGCACTGACCCTTTCCTTGGCCACACCAAGCTTCCTTTTGCCTTAGGGCTGTGGTACGCACTGCTCCTTCAGCCTTGGATACTCTGTTGCTGCAATTCTGATGGCATACTCCCGTCTCTCTTCACTTACCTTCTTCTCTAGCCATCCTGTTTAAAACAGCTCCCCTCCACCAGGACTCCTGTTGCGTCCTCCCTGCTTTATTTTCCTCCACTGTACTTATCATCAAGTGAAAAAAATTTACTATTTTGTGTTTGTTGTTAAGTTTGTTTTTGTCTGTCTTCTCTCATTAGAATGAGTGACGTTTCATGACGGCAGAGATTTTGTCTGTCTTGTTCACTGCTACATCACTTGTGCCTGGAGGAGTGGCTAGGAGATAGCAGGTGCTCAGTAAATATTAGGAGTCCCTGGATGGTGCAAACAGTTAATGCTCTCGGCTGCTGATTGACAGGTTGGGAAGTTCGAGTCCACTCAGAGGTGCCTCAGAGGAAAGGTCTGGCGATCTAATTCCAAAAAATCAGCCCTTGAAAACCCTAGGAAACACAGTTCTACTCTGACACACATGGGGTCACCATGAGTTTTAGTCGACTCTGGCCCAACTGGCTCAATAAATCCTGCTGGATAAATAGATGAGAAGCAACCACAAAAGCTGATTGACCCTTCCCAGCCAATTTTATAGCATTCTGGGTGCAGTAGGGGTAGATAACGTGCAGAATGATTCACTATATACTAATAGTTATTTTCCATCCCTCAGTTTCTCTGTTTGAAGAACATAAGGACATTTCTTACCGCCTGTTGCGAGACATTTGGAATGAGGAAAAGTGAACTCTTTGAGGCATTTGACCTGTTTGATGTTCGTGACTTTGGAAAGGTAATTGCATTTTATTATTTCATATTATTTTTTATTGGAGAACATTTTATTACATACTGTTTCATATCTTACTGAAGTATGGTGTGCGACTTAAATGACTTAGGTATCTGCAATGTATCACTGAATTTCACATGCAGGTGTTTAGATTAAAAAGAAAAAAAACCCACAACGACAAACACACAAAGAAACAAAAAAACAAAAACCCAAATAGCACCAACAACTGCCTAAAATGAATTAGAGTTATTTTTTAACTAAAGCAATATAATGTGGAACTTTTATCCGGAGGTATTTTTTCTGCTGACTGCCTCACAGAGTAGGATTACTGTTACCCATCCTTTAGATAGTTTGCTGGGTACTCATGTCTGAGGACCAGTATACTTTTCTTCCAGTCTTCTTTACATCTGGAAGCCACCTAATTTTTGGAAGTTGAGAATGTTCTGCTGTTCCTTTCTCTACATCGATTCTTGGGAAGGTGACTTGGAGAAGACATGCGTCACTTAAACGTTTGAGCTTATTGAATAACTCTTTCTACTTGGGTTTCAGCAGATATTTGTTATATTCTAGTGATTTTTTTTTTACATGAAAATTGTTTGAATATTTATTGTTATTGATTACTGTTATGTACAGGTGTATGATAGGTGAAGGAAATCATCTTTTCAAAGTTATGGTTATTTATAATGAAGTAATTGGGCATAAAATTAAACCTTTTGCGTCTAAGTAGCCATAAAAGTGTCAGATAATTAAAGTGACATCATCTTAGCCCCTGCTGACATAATTGTATTGTGAAACTAAGCATATAAGAGGAAAAAACTAAATGATGTTGAGATTGAGAAGATTGGTTTTAAAATGTGCTTGTTAAAAGTTACAGACTTTTATAATTCAGGTATTAAGTAGTACTTTATCAAAAGGCTATTTGAGTGATTGTTATTTGATTTTTAAGATGTAATATTTTGGTTGTAAATAAAAAGCAGGCTATGGATTGACTTTCTTGGCAACAAGAATGAATAGAGCAAACTTGAAACAGAAACATAAGAAATTCTGAAATACACCAAGTATGGTGAAGCCACCCTACCCAGGGAGGCAGAAGACCTCAGTTCTCTATCTGGCCTTGACCCAGACTCATGTGTGACCTTCTAAAAGTCACCCGTGTACCTGTCATCTGTGTACCTACCAGCTTGGAAGACTGTACAAAAGCAAATGGGTATAAGAACGGGATTTCTAAGATTCCTTTTATCTCTAACAAGCTATGATTTAACTGTCGTGAAATCCAAAAAAAGTGATGGAGGACATAATATGACAGTGAGTAGAAGGAACTGAAAACCTAGCCCATAGTAAGGAAATGGTAGCACATTGTCTATGGCCATGAAGTGAAACCTTGAAGAAAAAGGAGAATCAAGTAGAAACCCGGATGGCTGGATAGTCCTCCAAGCTGTTGGGCCTGAAAAACACCAGAGACAATTTCTGTCTCTACTTTTTTTTGCCCCTTCCCCTTTTTTCCTTTTTTATCTTCTTTGATTTTCCTTTATTTTCCCCTCTCTGTTTATAAGGAGGGGTGCTGGTAGCACAATGGTTAAGCATTTAGATGCTAACCAAAATGCTGGCGATTTGAATCCACCATCCGTTCCTTGAAAACCCTATGGGGTGGTTCTTCTTTGTCGTGTAGGGTCACTGTGAGTCAGAATAGACTTGATGTCAACAGGTTTGGCTCGATTTTTTTGGTTTATAGGGAAATGAAAAGTCGCTCCTCCTGACAAAAGCATTTGAGAGCCATCACAGACTTCGTGTATGGCTCTACCAAACCAAAACCCATTGCCAATGAGTCGATTCCGACTCATATCCACCCTATAGGACAGAGTAGAACTGCCCCATAGGGTTTCCAAGGCTGTAATATTTATGGAAGCAGACTGCTACATCTTTCTACTGCTGAGCAGCTGGTGGTTTCAAACTGCCAACCTTTCAGTTAGCAGATGAGCACTTTAACCACTGCATCACCAGGGCTCCTGTATATGGCTATAACCAAAAAAATCAAACCCACTGCCATCAAATCGATTCCGACTCATAGCAACCCTGTAGAACAGAGTAGAATGGCAGAAGCACAATGCCACATCTTTCTCCCAGGAACCTCTGGTGGGCTCGAATTGCTGACCCTTCGGTTAGCAGCCCAGTGCTTAACCACTACACTTCAGGTGGTCTTTATTCGTGCTGTAGGCACTGGGTGCCAGGGGGCCTGCTGCTTTGTGAAAGATTAAAATCTAAAAAAACCTTTAAAGTGATATTTCAACTGATAGATGTCTGTCAGTAAATTCCTCATTAATATGTTGAACCATTGGCTTGTAATATTATTTTCTCAACACTATTTACATTTAGATTTTTCAAAAAATATGTATTCCTTCATTTCAAATAATTCATTTAAAAAGGCTTCCCCCCTCCCTGAGTCTTGGTTTTTTAAATCTAACAAGGAGATATTAATTTTTCATTCAGATTTGCTACAAATGGTGTTGATAAAGATTGAGAGATTATATAAATACTTCCAAAGCACAGGGCTTTGTTCTAGTGGAATAACATTGTTTGCTAGATTGATTAGATAGCAGAAGCTTTGTAGGAGATAACAAGTTGAATGTAAAGGAATAAACTTATGTGTAAATGGCTACCTAAAATATTTTGGCAGTGGTAACTCTGAAACAATTAAATTTGGGGTTGTGGTTTACAATTTGAACCTATAACTACTACTTCTGCTTTAAAGTCACCTACATTTTTGCTACTGCCAAGATGGATGTAGCTATCTCTTCAGAATTGTATATGAACTAAATAAATCACTGAACATTAAAGAATTTGTGATAGAACTCCATAATTTACCTGTACTACTAATACTAAATATTATAACAGGGAGTCCCCAACTTATGACATATTCGAGTGGATGAACCACACTTAGACTGTTGTTTTTTTTTGTACATTTTATCCTTTGTAATATGTACTACATACAATGCTGCAGCATGTAATTTGCTGATGTTGTCATTCTCATGCCCACCCCCAAAGACAAATAAAGATGAGATTTATAAAGGATACTGAGACTAAAAGGCAATAATAACGAAAACTAAAAGAAAAAAAGATATTTGATTTACATCAGAACTGACTTGCGACAGAGTCATCAGAACGGAACCCCGTTGCCGACACCACCACCCTCACTTACTGAACACTTACTATGTACCAAGTATCCTTATATATATATATATATGTATGTAA